ACACACACACACACACTCTCTCTCTCTCTCTCTCTCCCCTTCTCTCTCTCTTCTGACCTTTTTCCTCATTTCAGTACAGTTCAGCTTCATTTTTCTTCTTCCCACCATTCAGACATAATGTTCAGCATGAATGAACAGTGTGCCTGTGCGACTGTGTGTAAGTGCACATCATCACATCATAGTTGCTGACTGTAGATCAGATTTTATCCACATTTTGTTGACAGTCACATCAGTGCTGACAGTCTGAGCATCAACCAAATGTATGTGCACTTGTTTGATTTTAGCTTAGCATAAGAGTCTCTACTGAAAGAAGTCAGCCCCTGTTGTTGCGCTCCCGATTGGTGCCATTTTGGTCAGGTGTAGTGTGTGTTTGTACAACTTTGTTACTAAAATGCTCCTGCGCCTAAAATATCATCATGAGAACTGTGAGACTGAACCAGAATCATAACAGCTGTGGACTCAAAAATAAAACAATGAGCTGAGAGATGACAACATGTGGAGTTAAGTGATAATTCTCAGTAGGTTTGTCACGACAAGCCTTCTCTTTAACATAACATACAGTCAATTGATCCATTGTTATTATAAAATATTGATTATAGTGGCTTTTAACAGTTGTTCCTGTGATTTAAAATGTATTATCACTTAATTATTTTGCTTGAAATCAAATCCTGGCTTAACTAAAGTCCCAGTACGAAGCTTGGTTGGTTGGGTAGACGACAGATCCCATACACACATACACACACACACACATGCGCGCACACACACACATGCGCGCACGCACACACATACACACACACACACACACACACACACACACACACACACACACACACACACACACACACACAGCCTGGATTGTGTGTGAGAGAGATTGAGAGCTTATGTGCATATGTATCTGTTTCCTCAGTGGATGCTCATTCATCTCCGTTCCAGTCACTTTCTCTGTCTCTGAGGGTAATGAATGAAAAGCTCCAAGTGTGTGTGTGTATGTGTGTGTGTGTGTGTGTGTGTGTGTGTGTGTGTGTGTGTGTGTGTGTGTGTGTGTGAGAAAACAGCACGGCCCACTTATGTCTGGCTTTGACGTCATCAGAACCCACAATAGCCATTATTAGTGCAAACAGGTGTGTGTGTGTGTGTTTGTGTGTAAGTGTGAGGCAAGTGAATTGATTGGATTGGTTGCCGGACTGTCCACTTTGATCACCAGGGGCAACCAGCAGTGTGATCTCTTGTCACTGTAAAAGATGTGCGGCACGTGAGGGGAGAGACAAAGACAGAATGACACAGGAGGAGGAGGAGGAGGAGGAAGAGAAAATGAGATTCTTGCTGAGAGGCGTGAGAACAACAAGCATTTTTCTGTGTGTGTGTGTGTGTGTGTGTGTGTACCACTGTGATGGTACGCTGGTGTTTTTAATACCAGTCGGCCTGGTGGCAGATGGGTGGCTTGTAAAATGTGCTTCAGTCTATAGGGCTCAAGGGCTTTCTACATGCCACCACGTGCGCACACACACACACACACACACACACACACACACACACAGATATTGATGCGACAGAGAGCTCACACACAACAGCTGCTTTCCCCTTGAATCAGGAGCGTGAAACACACAAACACGCACACCAAAATACACGCAAACGAAACTGCGAATGAATGGCAACCATCAGCAAAGAGAAGGAGGAGGATGAAGGATGAAGGCGTGGTGGTCGTCTGTATGGAGAGCAACCTGGTGTGAAATTCATTTTCCAGACAGGCAGGTGTGTAAGGTGGATGAAGATATGGAAATTATTTCATCTGCAGCTTCTTGAAGCCTCTGAATGAGTCTTGACTGATGTAACTATCAGACCGTGGCAGAATGAAATATTTAATCAATAGAACAAGGTTAGAGTCATTTTAAAACATAGACAATCTAATCCATGCTTTCTGCCTGTCTTTCTTTCCTGTGTAGTTTTAGATTCTTTCCTATGAACCTGACTGCTCTCAGCTCTCTTTCTTTTTGTAAAAACAGTTTTATTTGTAAAGCGCTTTTGCAAACGAGGTTGTGCCGTTGTGCGCTCACCAGAAATGACGATCACAACATGTGACCACGATTGTTGTCCGCCCGCCTGCTGCTTTGCCCGCTTGACTTTCCGTTTTAACCTCCTGAGTGTGCGATGTTCCATGCGACATGGAAATTAGGCCGCCACTTGCGCCGACAACGTATCCGCCGTCCTCGATGGTCCCTCCCCCTTCTGCTACGTAGCCAAGATGGCGACGGTTGAGGGTGAGAAGTGTCCATCATTTCACACTCAACTTTTTGACCATTTTGAGTGAACCAGCCCGGGTATTTACAGTGTACTGCATGTCGCCATATACATGAACAGCAAACACGCTGCAAATACAGAAATGATGCAAAAACAAGAACACACAAACCCCCAAAACAAATGCAACAGAAAAAAGCACCGGCATATTCAGACAACACAACAGAAGAGCTCCAGGCCTCTAGGGGGAGCACTCACCCATAGACTGTATATAAGCACGCTAACACATGCTACGTTATCTGTTGCTCTTTTATAGTATTAGTATAGTAAGTTAGTTAGCACTTTTTAATGTCACCTCTTCTGTCTTTCCTCATTCGCTCTCGTTTGGTCAAAGGTCAAAGGTCAAGTTGTAGGTCTGGCCTCTCAGGTCAAAGCTCAGGCTTTTGCTCAAGGTGTTACATTTAGCGTTCACCCTTTAGGCCTGGAGCGCTTCTGTTGTGTTGTCTGAATATGCAGTGTTTTTTTCTGTTGCATTTGTTTTGGGGTTTTTTTTTGTGTGTGTGTGTGTTGTTGCATTTCTGTACTATCGCGTGTTTGCTGTTAATATCTTTGTTTTGACTTCCTGCAGCGCGTTCCCGTTGTTGTTGTTTTTGTTTTTTATTTTCACATCGTTTCTGAATTTGCAGCTTGTGAAACAACTAGTGAAACAGCTTTGACGCATTTGCCCTTGTCAGCCACCGTAGCTAACACGTTCACAACAACAACTTTATAAGGTGATAATATTTCACCGTTAACAGCTTGTTCTTTAGTGCAAGGGAAATGAGACTCTCTTATAAAAGTGTGTTTTATAAAGAGATTTAAATGACGGTACTGACTCAGCCAGACTCACTTCCGTAGGCAGGCTGTTCTAGAGCTTCAGATTCTTTAGCTCTAACCCTGGGCTCCAGAACAGAACAAAGGACCTCTGGCTGAGGATTTCACCACACAATACCTACAAGCTCATACGGGACTAAAAGGTCAGAAATATAGCAAAGAGCCAGGCCATGAAAAGCCTTAGATTCAAAATTCTTTGAATGTTATAGATCTGGGTTTGTGTCAGCTGCAGGTCGCCTGAATGTTGGACAGGAAGAGAAAACAAGGAGAGAGGAGATAAGGGCAGAGAGATGTTTACTCTAATGTGACGTTGGTGAAGCTGAAGGCAGATCAACATAGGAGTCAACGCTCGGTTCAGGCAGATTAACTGGCAATGGGCTCATCTTCATTCATCACCCTGCTCGTCTTCATGACGCACACACATACACAAACAGACACACACACACACACACACACTCATACACACACATACAACAACTGAAAGGCTTTGACTGAATTTAAATTTCCAATTATTTTGCCTAATATTGGTGCCGTGATTGTTATTGAGGATCGTCAGGTTTTATGATGCGAGAAACGAAGATTTGAAATTATTATCAACCTTAGCAGTCATTCTAAGTGAATAAATAAAAAAGAATTGCTAATGTTCCAATGTTACACTTGGCAGATCCAATCACATTACCATTGCAGTGTAATTTTCTGCATATTAAGATAATCAGATACTGACTGCACCTGTTGTAAATGGGATCTAAATGGTTGAATTACTGAGTTCACAGAGTGTTAAACCTGGAGTTACACTGACTCTGTTTTTCTTTCTGTTGGCTTTATTGACTTTAGCAGCATTAAGAGCACTGATGAAAATCTGAGTTCTCTGTCGGGAATTACAGCGACAAAATGTAACTGACCATTAAACAATATTAATGTGTGATGTAGCCATCCTCACTTTTGTGAAAAACATTGAATTACAAAAGATGCTACTTACTTACTAAAATTAATTCTTAATGAGGTAAAGGTTCATCTATTAAAGGCCCCATATTGTATAAAGGTAGATGTCCATGTGTTGTTTGATTATAAAGCAGGTCTAGGTTCTATATTAATACTGTGAAAGTATCGAAGTGCTCAGTCCACAGAGAAATGCTCACAGCCTGTATTCAGAAACTGAACCTTAAAACCAGCCGTCAGGACATGCTTAACTTTGTGATGTCACAACAAAGTCATCATCACCATCAGCCATGCCCCAAACCCCGCCCACCTGGACCCACCATCCAACCTTGCAGGATTATGTTTCTCTGAGTGTTTACCTGAAATCTGCTGTATTTTTATTCAATTACTCAGAAAACAATCAGCCAATCAGAAGAGAGACTCAGAGCCTCCTCTCCTCTGATTGGCTCACCGACCTGTTGTCACTAGAGCTCGAGAAAAACACTCAGAGAGACCAAATCCTGCAAGCTTGGATGGTGGGTCCAGGTTGGTGGGGCTTGGGGCATGGCTGAGAGCAGTGTCTGCTTTGTTGTGACATCACAAAGTTACAGAAATCCTGATGGCTCGTTTTAAGGCTCAGTTTCAGCCTTTAACGAAACATATTTTTATTTAAGGACAGCAACTTGTCCTTGTATTCAAATCCTTGCTCGTGCAGGAATATCTTCTAAATAAACACAGCACCATACTGGTTTATATAAGGGTGGAGGTTCAAGGCTGAGTTGATCTGTTTCATGTGATTTTGCTGTAGACAGGTCACTGCAGCGTGTACAGCACAGCTCCCCTCCACAGATCAAAGATTTGTTTCTCGGCATCGTGAGAACTTACTTTATGTGAAAACCAGAGGAGGGAAGTTCACGTTATGTAACAAATGAGCTGCTGGTGTCTCACAAGACATGTTTTTGATGTATTCACAGAGGAGCGTTTTCAGAGGTGGTCCTGGCCCAGGAGAGGCTGACCGGCCGGATGTTTGCGGTGAAGTGCATCCCTAAAAAGGCCCTGAAGGGGAAGGAGAGCAGCATCGAGAACGAGATCGCTGTGCTGAGAAGGTGACACAAACACACACACACACACACACAAATGAACATGAGCCTCATAATTCTTGGTTACCGGGGCAACTGTGCATCTCCTCTCTCTTCCAGACATCACGACCCCCACACTCCCCCACCACCCCCACCCCCAGGTCACGATCCACAGCCCACCTACCACACATACGTACACGCATCACGACTGAAACTTCAGTCTGTCTGTAGAACAGAGCACAAAACAGCTGCACGGTATTAACAACAAGAATCAGGTTTGGATGCTGAGCTCTGTGTTGGTGTTTGAAGACAATGTGAATGGAAGTAGTATTGGCCTCTAATGGCTGAAGAAGTCCTGAAGTTTGGCTGATTTAGTTGATTTTGAAAAGACGTGACACAAGATGAGAAGAAAACACCACATGAGGTCAGAAGCAGTAGAGCCCTCAGAGTACAGGACATGTCTCATTAACACTCCCATTAACAGCATTTTCACACAGTGTGCTGTTATAGTTCTGGATGGTCAAAGCACTGATGCTACCTAGAGATCTTGCTATGTTTACTCTTATAGTATTGCTATGGCAACCCTTTAGTATGTACTTAAAGATGTTACTATGGGTATTATTATTAATACTGTGGATGGTTTGCCTACACAGCGACCTGTTGAAAAGGTTTCCATTTATTTGATATAAACTAACACTTGAAGTGATAGTTTATAGATTATTATTATAGATTACTTGACGTGGGGTTTTGTCAGTGTATTACCTGTGGTAGAGTCAGATCGGTGCACTCTCAGTTTAGAGAAGCAGCAGGAGCACCGGCACAGAATCTGAGTGATGAGCTGCTGTTTATGGGGTCAGCAAGAAAAACAGTTTTAACCACTTTAAAAAAAAATGGCCACCGAGTAAAGCTAATATCAGTTGAAGTTTCTCAACCGTTGAACTACTGTATTACTACGCACAAGCTTGAAGCAGCAACATACATCAACTGCAATGATGCTGGTCTTGATGAGACCGAGTGTCTGAGCTGACATATAAAAACCATGCAGGAGGTGGGGTGTTTCCATTGTGCGTTTCCTTTTAGTGTTTGGAAATTTCTACTTTATTTTGAATACACAAGCACCCATAAACCACACTTTTCATCAAACTCAAGCAAAGCTCAGGTGTTGGGTGGAAGCCACAGAAACGTCTTCTGCAGGTGAGCAGGTTATAATTGCACTGAGTGAGGCACCATGTTTGTATCCATAAGGCAGTGTTTAACACAGACCCATAGGAATAATTACTCAGCACACGCAGCTAGTTAACAGGGGAACAAGGGCAGTACAGTGCACCTGATACACAGACAAGTTTCAAAAGGAAAAAAACAATGAGGACTCTCTTTGTCTCCCTCTTACACGCAAGCATGTTACCACACAACTACACAGAAATGACACAATTACACTGTCGGGCTTCTGTTTGCTTTGACCATACAGATGTATTATGCTATACAATACATTTGCTAATTTGGCTGTTTTGTTTAACATTAGAGAAAATGGCAATCGCCTGCAGTAATGAGGGAGAGACGCAGACATTCATGTAGACGAATGAGAGCATCACTGAGCAGACTGGCAGTCTCACTGTGAGACGCCAGGTCAGTTTTTGGAGGGAAATCTGCTGAATTACTTTATGGCACAAAACAGGAAAATGTTGCTTGGTTACATCAGATAAATACAAATGTTGGGAGCTTCATTCAGCAAGTGACAGCACTTGTTGTTCCCTTGAATATGAAACTGTAACATTATACGGTCAGTTGTAAGCACTTGGATCAAGGATTTATCTTCCTTGGCAAACGACTAAAACCAGACACAGACATATTTTTGTAGGTCTACATGTGCAAAACAGTTGAGCAAGGATGATAAAATAAATCTCACTAATTCATCTGCACTGTTTGTGTTGACAAGACACACATCAGCTTGATCTCTGCAGACAGCTGCTAGCTAGTGTTAGCTCCATGTCCAGGACAGCTGAATAAAGTAGAATCCACACGCTGTTCAGTCGACTTCCACGGCCTCTTCAGTAAACACAAACTGAGCTCAGATCAGTGTGCAGAGTTTTTTCAGTCTATCTGTCCTGTAGATTCGCGACATAGCCAGTCAGTTAACCATTCTGAGTCAGGATGCCAGTTACAAGCTAACAAACAACATAAACAGATAAAAGATGCTACGTACGCTAACTGTTCTGAGTCTGGTCTCAACAGACTCCTCCTCTGAGTCTGGGTCTGACTGAGGCTCAAACATGAGGCTGAGTCTCTCTGATGTTTCCTCCTCTGACCATCTTCATACTCTCTGCTCTTTCACCTGTCCACCTGGAGCAAGCAGGTGGTGGGCGGGGCAGGAAGTAAGAGTAGATGAGCTTCAGACCCAGTTTTCCATTTTTTTTCGCACTTTTTATGTGGTAGTAGGTGGTAAAAATGTCTGGAGAGAAACTTTAAGAGACTGTCGTGACTCAAAGCAGGTCACAGCTATCATCTGTATGACTTTTCGACTTAAAATAAACTTTTTGTGGACTTTGCAATAACTCAATTTCCTAACTTTTTCCACATCATGCAGCCCTAACTGAACCACTTACAAGTTACCACAGCATACACGCAACATTTAGTGCAAATGCAAAGTCTGTCTTGGGATTTTAAGAATTGATATAGATTTTTTTTTATCGAGCCCAACAAACAGAACTAAAAGTTTGTGAGATTCTTGTGGCTGCAGGCGGTGGAAGGAATGATTTAAAAGAGAAATCAAGAAAAAAAAAAATTGTCTTATTTTGGAGGAACACAAATGCCAACAACAATCACTTGTGTTAGGCAGAGGCCAACAGCATCATGTTGACTGTTGACATTTCATCCCCGTTTCCCATGGCACACATTTTCCAGGGAGTGTCCCAGCCTGAGTGATAAAAATAGGCAGAGTGCAACATAATGGTCTCATTAGTTTACAGAAGTGGTACCAAGGAATCACCTCAATGATAATAATAGAGACTGCTATCCTCTGACGCACTAGTCACTGAGCCATTAATGAACAACACGTAATACATTCAGCTATGTTTAAAAACCACACAGGCAAAATCTTCTTTATCCTCATATTATATTGTCTGACAGTTGATTTGCAACACTTATTTCAACATGTTGAGACCATTCAACTTGTATTAGGAACAAAGTAATCAAAATTAATCACAACGTTGGGAATTTGTCATATAAATGTAAATAAAGCAACTTATGTGCCATCATTAGAGGGTTCCATTAATTTTCCTCATACAATGTTAGTGACTTGCAGTTGCAGCATTTCTACTGTACAGCTTCAATCAGCATGAAACTCTCTCAGTTAAAGTTCCTCTCCAGAAACTCTGTAAAAAAAAAAAAAATTGTTTAACACAGTTTTCCCACATAAAAAATGATAAAAAAAATGTTTGAGGTTGGAATCCCAATTACTTTTACTTCCTCATTGAGAAATTCTGGTTCGGGCCTTGTGCCCCGCCCACCACCTGCTTGCTCTAGATGGACAGGTGAAAGAGCAGAGAGTATCAAGATGGTTAGAGGAGGAAACATCAGAGAGACTCAGCCACATGTTTGAGCCTCAGTCAGACCCAGACTCAGATGAGGAGTCTGTTGAGACCAGAACCAGAGACTAGCAGACGGATCAGAACGGTTAGCGTAGTTAGCATCTTTTATCTGTTTATGTTGTTTGTTAGCTTGTAACTGGCAGTGGCTGACACAGTGTTAGTGGTTGTGCTAATGCTAACTCTCTCTCTGTACTGACAAGGTTTCAGGTTTATTTAGCCCCGCCCCCATCCCCACAAGTTGACAGGATTGGTTCCTTAGGTTTGTGACGTATGAAACCCTGGCTGTCTGAATCTGTTGTTATGAGACATTGTCATTGGTTCACTGCAGGTCAAGGTGGAAACACTCAGTCATGGAGTTGATGATTATTTCACTTATCATATGTTTTATATAGTATTATATAAAAAACACCATATGGATGTTAACAAGGTTAAACACTTGATTTTCTCTAAATTATCANCATTAGAGGGTTCCATTAATTTTCCTCATACAATGTTAGTGACTTGCAGTTGCAGCATTTCTACTGTACAGCTTCAATCAGCATGAAACTCTCTCAGTTAAAGTTCCTCTCCAGAAACTCTGTAAAAAAAAAAAAAATTGTTTAACACAGTTTTCCCACATAAAAAATGATAAAAAAAATGTTTGAGGTTGGAATCCCAATTACTTTTACTTCCTCATTGAGAAATTCTGGTTCGGGCCTTGTGCCCCGCCCACCACCTGCTTGCTCTAGATGGACAGGTGAAAGAGCAGAGAGTATCAAGATGGTTAGAGGAGGAAACATCAGAGAGACTCAGCCACATGTTTGAGCCTCAGTCAGACCCAGACTCAGATGAGGAGTCTGTTGAGACCAGAACCAGAGACTAGCAGACGGATCAGAACGGTTAGCGTAGTTAGCATCTTTTATCTGTTTATGTTGTTTGTTAGCTTGTAACTGGCAGTGGCTGACACAGTGTTAGTGGTTGTGCTAATGCTAACTCTCTCTCTGTACTGACAAGGTTTCAGGTTTATTTAGCCCCGCCCCCATCCCCACAAGTTGACAGGATTGGTTCCTTAGGTTTGTGACGTATGAAACCCTGGCTGTCTGAATCTGTTGTTATGAGACATTGTCATTGGTTCACTGCAGGTCAAGGTGGAAACACTCAGTCATGGAGTTGATGATTATTTCACTTATCATATGTTTTATATAGTATTATATAAAAAACACCATATGGATGTTAACAAGGTTAAACACTTGATTTTCTCTAAATTATCACTACAAGAGATTAACAACCATGTCGAAATAAAGTTTGAAGTAAAGCTGGTGGTCATTACATAAAGCTGTATTATTGTTACATCATTCAGAGGAGCCACATGTTTGTAACATTAAAAGAAAAAAAATTAATTCTGATTAACTCTCAGCTGATTCATTAAAATTCTCTTTTTTGTCTACATTTCTTGGTCTTCTGCCTTAATTTGATAGTGAGCAGTGCAGACAGACATAGACACGAAACAGGGAGAACGAGGAGGGTTTGACAAACAGCACAGGTCCCTGACTGGAATCAGACGTAGGGCATATATATATTTTATAATTTGATTAATTTATTAATTGTTAAGCCTAAAGTTTCATCTTCAAATTGCTTTCTTTTTCTTGTCTTTTTCCAAAACTTCAACGTTTTCAATTTTCACTTATGTAAAACAGAGAAACACAGCAAATACTCCCTATAGAAAAGCTGAAATTATAGAGTATTTAGAAATTTTACTTGATAAATTAATTGATTACCAAAATTGCCGTCAATTAATTTTCCGTCCATCAATTAAACAATTTATCAACTTGTAATTTCAGAATAAGTCAGAGCTAGCATGAAGCATGAAGCCTGTACTGTATGAGAGGGTTTGTCTGAATGCTCCCTGATTCTGCTCTGCCATTACACTCAGACTGCCAGTCCTTCATTATCCCAGACAGGGCTTAAATACACACACATTATCCCTTTTCCACCTGCACGCCTGTGTGTGTGTGTGTGTGTGTGTGTGTGTGTGTGTGTGTGTGTGTTTGTGTGTGTGTTTGTGTTTGTGTGTATGTGTGTGGTCCAGGTATTACTCATGTTGTGGGGACCTACATCTGTTCACACAGTCACATTATGGGGGAAACAAAGTGTGTGTTGTGTGTGTGTGTGTGTGTGTGTGTGTGTGTGTGTGTGTGTGTGTGTGTGTGTGTGTGTGTGTGTGTGTATGTGAGTGAGTCACGCCTCAGCTCTGCGGTTCATCACCTGCCTGCCATCTCAGAGATACGCTGCCATAATAAGTGATAGATGCTCACCTGTGCACCTGCTGTATGTGCGTGTGTGTGTGTGTGTGGTACAGAGAGAGAGAGAGCGCGAGAGAGAGAGAGGAATTACCTCTGTTCACAATGCAAAAGATGATTAACCCACACACCCATACACAAAATCAGTTGTGTCTCTACAAGGTATGAGGAATTAGGATAACGAATGCTTACCTACACATACACACACAGAGTGAGGAAACACCCTCATCACAACACCGTAACCATGGCGACATCAGGTGAGAACTGATTGGCTCCTTGAGAACAAGTTATTGATTCAAATCCATGAAAGAGTTTTGTGCTGTTAGGAAATAAAAAATAAGGATCGAGTGTGAAAGTTCACACTAGACTTTGGCAAAATAATTTCAACTCAAGACACACTTACTATATTCCTGAAGCTTTCAGCTGCTTCTCACAGTTTTCATCAGATGTCATAGAGCCTTCATCTGCTAATCAGACTCAGTCAGTTATACCTTGAGACAACTGAGCTTTCTTGACTGTGGAACAGACTACTGCCGGTCCATTTAGCAGCTGTTCTGGAGCTTTTGATCATATCACATGATCTTCATCAACAGATCTAATTTGCCAAAATCTGGGTAAAATATGAAATGGAAATATGAACATAAACATTTCATAACAACCGGGCCAACTCTGCTTGCTGATGAAGATCATGTTATATGAAAGCCCCAGAACAGCTACTAAATGGAAACTGATGTTTCAAATGTCAAGAATGAACTTTGAAGCTAAACTTTATTTGTAATGGCAGCGCTCACAGGGGAGTTTCTCCGGACTCTTGTTGACATCTGATGAAGACCATGAAATACAGTTGAAAGCCCCAGAAAAATACGAAGCATTTTTGTCAAATCATATTTTTCTTTTTCCCTCAGCACAAAGAGAAGTAAATGTCCAGACCTGGGGGGTAAAGTCTGGATTATGAGGCCACACTGGGTGAAACGCTGTCAGATTATTCTGGATTAACAGTCATGTTAATTCATGTGGCAGAAACTTAATGGGGAACTTTCTGCAGTCCAAAAGCAATCATGGGGATTAAGAGTCATTTAGCTGTGGTAATGGGTTATTGTGCGTGACTGCACTGACATAAAAAGCTTCGCTAATGGTTTGTCTTTGCTCTGCAGGATCAAGCACGAGAACATTGTGGCTCTGGAGGACATCTACGAGAGTCCGGACCACCTCTACCTGATCATGCAGCTGTGAGTTCAAGTTTTTTATCGTTGCTCTCTACTTGAGTGATGGTTATGTTGTTCAGTGTGACTGATGAGAACAACGTCTCAGGTGAGCTCTGTGCTGAAACTTGAAGGCAGCACTGTTCAGCCTGTCAAAACAGTCGGACAGTGTTTTCCGGTTATCTGGAGGGAGCTTTTCAAAGTTTGAAAAAACAACCCTGATGAAGGCAGGGATGGTCTAATGCAGGGGTCTCAAACCACTGGTCTGGAAACCAGATCTCTAAACTTTGAATATGAAATCTGGCTTACTTTGTAGTTTGTTTGTTTTTTGGGGGTTTTTTTTAGACCTATAATTTAATATGCTTGCGAGAATGTAGGAGCATGAAAATCGAATCTTTATTCAAAATTCAACATTGAACAAGCTGTAAAATAACTACACAACCTGTCAACATTTTACCACTAAACATGCAGAGTATTATGTCTCAGTTTTAAATTGAATCAGTGTATTTAGCTTAATAAAGTTGGAGTGCAATTTTCTTATTTGATAAATATGCATGGGGATTTGTTAAAATATAATGATTTACTCACATTATACATGTGCCAGAAATTCCTATTACCTCATCTCTGTCTTTTTCACACTTTTAATCCTATTCTGCTGCCTACCCATCAACACACACACACACACACACACACACACACACACACATGCACACACATACACACACATGCACACACACACACACACACACATACACACACATACACACACACACTTTTCACTTCAATGACAGCTACACTGAGATGACAAAAACATTTCACACACTAACACACACACACACACACACACACACAAAAAGCCCACCCGTCCTCCCACACGCTCGCACACACCACGCAGCTCCAAGCCCTCTGTTACATCAGTACCATCTCTGCTTTGATGGTCAGCAATAGAGGGAAGTAGGATCGCCCATGGTTCACCCATGGGTGCCCCACTAACCTCCTCTGCAAGGTTACTGCTGCTTATGTAAGAGGAGAAGTTGGATCTGGAAGCTTGGCATTCACACTGGAAAAATTTCAAGTCAAGTCCAGGTTGGAAGTCGCGGCTGTGGATTACACAACAGCGGCTGTGTTTACAACCCGGTGTCCGCGGATTATCTGTTCACCTGCTGCATGTGTTCAAGTCTTTCTGTTTCTACACCAACTCTGGCCAAAATACAAAAAAACACACGATCTCTCATGAGATACTGTAAAGAATGAACTCTTAGGTCGAGGCTGACGTGTTGCTTTTAAATGGCATTAAACAGCTAATCCACGAGGCTCTGTGGATGCTTCAATAATGAGGACACACAGGAGTGTAGGTTGCAGCTTTGGATATTTCTTCCACGCGCTTGTATTCGCTCCAAACAAACTGTGTTGCTTTTGGAAAAAGGGAAAAACGTCTTGAGGAGGAATCTTCACTGCAAAGACCACGCAGCAAGAATCTTAAAAGATTTCATGAACTACAGAAAATGCTTTTACTTATTAATCCGTCCAACATCTAATCAACATAAAAACTACTCTGTGATCTACTCCTGGATTTTGTAAAGGTGTGCATCCAAATTAATTTCCTGGTTTTAGGACTTATTCCTGCAGCACTATATTGAGCAATTGGTAGTTAATTGTTTAGTAATTAAAGTTTTCATTATTAAGAGAAAGAATGTGATATCATCACCATCCAGTGTTACATACTGAAGTTAAATTTTACTTTTTTTGAGGCTAATTTTCATCTCTCGTCCATGGCTACGTAGCTAACAAGCTAGCGCAATGGAAATAAATGACTTCATCAGGTCTGCTCAGCTCTTTTCAGGCAGACAAACGGTAAACAAAGAAACACATTCAGCTTTTCTCAGAGCTGAAGTTCCTTCAACCCACCTGCTGAGAAGTTACACAGCCTGAAAGCTGCCCGTTGGCCAGACTCCAGTCAGAGGTCTTACTCTGATTAAGCTGTTTACCTACAGTGTTAACCTTTTGATTGAGTTTCCTGTTGTCATGACTAAACCAGTTCACAGAGTATTACTGTTCCCTGGTCGGCTGTTTGTTACGTTTACTGCTAATTGTCCCGAGAGGTTTTCATTGTCCAAGCTGTTGTTTTATTTTAGTTCTTTAACAGCATTTTCTACCAGCAGTGAATGATGTCTCAAATTCTAGCACGGGGCGGCAGTGAGAGACAGTAAGAGCGAGGACCTCACCTCTGCTCCTCCGTCCTCCTCCACACCTTCCTCCATCCCTGCATCTTTTGTCTCTCCTCTCTCACAGTCTCTGCCCTCTGCTTCGCTCGCGTCATTGCTTTCTCCGCTCTCACACCTTATTTCCGTTGCCACCACCTCCTGCTCACTTCCATTTTCCCTCTCTCTTACCATCTGCTCATTGAATATGGGTGAGTTGCCATAGTTACAGGGTCAAAGGTTACATCTGGGTTATTACATTTTAGAGCAACCTTGAAAAATGGTGGTTTTGAAATGCCCCCAAACATAAAATGTGAAGTAGCTGCGTTTCTATCCACCGGGTTGAATTTAATAAACATGTCAACAACTTAACAACTCACAGAAAAAACAAGATACTGTTTGTCTTCATCATATTTTAATGTCAGACATGTTTCACACTGTCTGAAGATAAAACAAAGTGAAGAATACAGACGTCTGAATACAGACATCACCAGAGGGAAACCTCATTTTGCATTTGGGCAGTAAGTTAGTTACATACATACACTCATTGCTATGTACGTAGATAATGGAGCTGTAACCATTTTACAACAATATGGTGCAAATGTTATTGAAATTTGCCATTAACATTGAACTTTCTCATTCCAAACACCAATTCTTCCTTCCTTGAATGAACAAACAGCTGAATTGAACCATGTGTTTAGATTAACAATGGATCGGATGCCTGTGTAATGTGAAAAACACATATCACGTGACCGTTCACGTGCAAACGGGAAGCACATTGTCCACATTGTTACACGTCAGTAACACTTGTAATTCATTATCCATGTTGTATTCACCACTGGTAGTCCAGGCTGATGAGACCCAATTAGAGGGCGAACGTGGGTATCATTGTCAGTCATTGTTTCCAAAGGTCTCAGTTTTAGGGGCTCGAAAACTCCGGAGTAGTGTGGACACCAGGAGTAAACGTAGCAAAAGAGATGCGTTTTAAAATTAAAACTGCTGGATGTGTAAGTAAGAAACTGTTCAGTCTGTTTGCTCACATGTTCACCGTAACAACCTTGTAAGGTGATAATATGTCAGATATTGTAATTTCAGCTATTTCTACTGCCCCAAAACATATATACGTAACGCTTAGGCTGAATGATACGCAGAAAAGATTTTCGATACAGGTCATGATTTCAGTTGGAATGGTAATTTTTGCATTTCATTTACACTGAAAAAAATATATAAAAATGATGAAGAAGAGATTCTCGTTAGGGCTTGTACCAAACAAATTTACAAGTGAAGGATAGGATTTTTTAGCATCGCTGTTGCACCACAGCGCTTCATTTATGGTCTGTTGTGACACATTTTACCTTTATCCAAAAAAAATTGCAGCTCCTGTGATTTGGATATTGTTCAGGCCTACTTAATGCAGCTTTAATCAAGCAGCAACTTGTTAAGTCTGGCTTCTAAATAATCTAAAAGCAACATCCAGACCCTATCAGCCTTACTAATGTAAATAGTAAGGCTTATTAATGTTGTAATTTGTATTTTTTTTGTGCTTCTTTTTACTACCGTGTGCTGATAGTTTTGTTTTAAGCTCGTACATGTTAACAACAGACAGAATTACAGACGGACGTGTTTTACTTTGGAGAAAAATGTGAGAAATATGTAGAGTCAGTGTAAAAACATCAGAGTATTTCAGTCTCCCTTTTATCTGTCCTCATTGCTGCAGGCTGTTCTTCCTTAAGCAGCTTCATCACTATACAACTGATCTGTTTTTACATAAAGCATTTGTGTCCATCTTATCTTGAAAAAAAAAGCTCCAGCAAAAACTGTTTTTGAAGGAGCACAAACTCTCTTTCCTCCAGAAAGTCGATCTCTCTGCTACATGAATTTGTTCCAACCACCCCTGTAATAAATGTAATTTGTTATAATTATTTGCATTTTATTGAGATGTCAGTTCTTTTTTTCCAACAGACAGAAATCTCATTTAGGAGAAAGGATTTTGAATATTTTCTGTGTAATTGCAGTGTGGTGGATCGATGCTGTCTGACAGCGTTTCTTTCATTCCCGTTCATCACAGCTTGTCTTACGTAACCTCGACCGCAGGGAGGCAATCAGTCCGCGCCGCTATGAAAATCGATGCAACCGAGTGCAATGTGGGCTTTATATTGATATTGTTTGTGCTGTGAATTGCATGTTAATAAAATATGAAACACATACAGTAGAGAGACAAACTGGCTTTGAAAAAATCTATAAGAAAGTAGTAAGGCATAAACTGCACTCCCTCGCTATCCTGGTAGTTCTGTTGCACACTTTTTTTACTGGTTTTTATTGTTTTATGACATCATACTTCAGCCTGACTAGAGGTCAAATCAGATGCACTATGTGAAAACACTGGTGTGGTGTAGTACTCTGGGGTTAAAGGTCCCATATAGTATAAAGGTAGATGTCCATGTGTTGTTTGATTATAAAGCAGGTCTAGGCTCTATGTTAATACTGTGAAAGTATCAAAGCGCTCAGTCCACAGAGAAATGCACACAGCCTGTATTCAGAAACTGAGGCTTAAAATGAGCCATCAAGACTTCTGTAACTTTGTGATGTCACAATAAAGCAGTCATTGCTCTCAGCCATGCCCGAAGCCTGGCCCATTGATTCTCATTTCAGCCATATTGCCAGTACCTAACTTGTCGTCAAGTAGACTACATTTATTGTACGCTCCATTTAATCTTGTGTTTGTGTTGATTTTTCTATTTTTTGATTACTTTTTGTAGTTCATTATTGTTTATTACTTCCTATTTTCTATTATTTTTTAAATCGCAGACACTGTCCAGATAAGGTTAAAGGTCCACTATGTGTTTTATTTGAAGTGTTGATCATAAGAAAATATATTTGTGGTTTTAAGAACCAAAAACAAACTCTATGTAGTTTTCCATCTTGTCTCTCAGGCTTCTCTCTGGAAATCTAGTAACAACAGGTTGGTGAGCCAATCAGAAGAGAGGAGGCTCTGAGCCTCTCTTCTCATTGGCTGACTGTTTTCTGAGTGATCAAATAAAAATATATCAGATTTCAGGTAAACACTCAGAGAAACCAAATCCTGCAAGGTTGGATGGTGGGTCCAGGTGGGCGGGGCTTGGGGCATGGCTGATGGCGATGACTGCTTGGGACATCACAAAGTTACAGAAGTCCAGATGGCTGGTTTTCAGGCTCAGTTTCTGAATACAGGCTGTGTGCATTTCTCTGTGGACTGAGCGCTTTGATACTTTCACAGTATTAATATAGAACCTAGACCTGCTTTATAATCAAACAACACATGGACATCTACCTTTATACTATATGGGACCTTTAAACACCAGGGACAATGATGGAAATAATAATAAAATAAATAAAATCAGGGATTTTAACATTCAGTCCCTAAACATTTGTGATATTGTGATATTTATAAATAAAAATGCTGTGTTTATATGCACACATTACACGATTACTTTGCATAACCTTGTTAAAGAAGACATTCATTACAGCGTTTACATGGTTCATAGTATTTTCCTTAGTTTGTTTTATAATTTGATTCATGTCTGTGAGGATGTGAGGTAACCTACTGGTCATCTTTATTAATTCTATGATCTATGATTTTATTAGAGCGTCAGCTGCTCTTTTTGCAGTCCACACAAAACATAAAAACATCACAGATGAACTTCTACAAAATAAGAAACAGAAAATGGAAATGTTTTATTGTTGTCCACTGTATTTGTTAGCTCATACACACAAATTCGAATCAAGAACAAATTACCAAATCAGATTTATTTTATTTTATTTCTAATATTTTTGCATTATTGCTTAATAACTGTCCAGCTGTCTACACAGATTTGGAGTTTAATGCAATTAGTATAATGATAGTGTCTACATGACCGTTTCCACAGTAATCTGAGGAAGTGGTTATGTGAACAAAACAAAGATGGACTGGATGAAAGGAGGCAAACGGGAGTCTCAGTGCGGCCACAGAAACAGCGGGGTTTCCTCCCTTGATGGCGACTAATCAGCGCAGCAGCTCAATAGCTCCAGTCAGATCTGTGATGCTCTGCTGTGATTAGTTAGTCTGACCCTGCAAAGACTGCAACAGCTCTTCATCTCTGACATGGTGAACAGCGTGCATCACACACACACACACACACACACACACACCAGACACTTGAAATTAAGACTCGCTGTCAGCCATGATGCACGACTGTCGCCTCGGGAGAGCGTTACGAATGCCTGCCTCTAAACGGATCAGCTGATGGAGGAGAGATGGATGGAGAGAGATGGTGGAGCGGGAGGAAGGAGAAGGGATGATGCAATGTTTCCTCCAGAAGAATGTTGGTTCCTGAAAAACAGCGATGACTCTTTGATGATGACTCTTTTTTTATTTTTATTTTGTAATATCATTTTAAATTTTAGTTCACAAACACACACACACACACACACACACACACACACACACACACACACACATACACACACACAAACTCCCCCAGTTTGTCATATCAAATGAGGTTTGTTTTTGTATTAGTGTTGCCGTTGAGGTTGAATCTATGAGCTGAGAAACAGCAGCAGGTTTAGTTCAGTTCAGTTTCCATCTGAACTCAGCCTCATCAAGTGTTTTTTCAGTCTGTGTAAATGATGCTGCGGGTACATGTGGTATTTTGTTGACATGCCTCGCAGTGGCGTCGATTCAGGGCGGCGTAAACACAATATTGTGAGTCCAGTTGAAACCACACCCAAGCAGCTGCGGGGTTTTGGAGCCCACCCTCTGAAAGCACAGTCTGTACGCAGCGACACAGTCCTCAGATCAGCCTAAATAAATGATGTGTGTGGATGGACTGTGGGTGTGACGCCTACAGAGTTTCTAGTAGCATGTGTTTTTGAAGTGAAGAGGTGATTACTCTCCATATATATATATATATATATATACANTGCGGGTACATGTGGTATTTTGTTGACATGCCTCGCAGTGGCGTCGATTCAGGGCGGCGTAAACACAATATTGTGAGTCCAGTTGAAACCACACCCAAGCAGCTGCGGGGTTTTGGAGCCCACCCTCTGAAAGCACAGTACGCAGCGACACAGTCCTCAGATCAGCCTAAATAAATGATGTGTGTGGATGGACTGTGGGTGTGACGCCTACAGAGTTTCTAGTAGCATGTGTTTTTGAAGTGAAGAGGTGATTACTCTCCATATATATATATATATATATATACATTTACTCTGTAGTGACAAATCAATCGCTGACAGCTGTACAGCCACACTGCGGTGATTGTGTTCGACTCATTGTAATGTGTTGTGTACATGTCAGGATTTTTTCAGTCCATAAATTGGAAGTGCATAAATTTCACTCACACATCATCATCATCATGTCAAACACATCCTGAGACATTATGAAAATGACCAGGCTTCTGTGACCTTTGACCTCCTCACTGCTGGATGTCCTGTGACTTTATTTAGAGTATATCAAATGAGAAAAGCTGAACGTAGGTAATCTGACAACTTTCAGAGTCGTTTCACAGACTCTCTGTGTGTGTGTGTGTGTGTTTGTGTGTGTGTGTGTGTGTGTGTGTGCGCGTGCGTGCGTGCGTACGTGCGTGTGTGTTTACATGTGCGTGACACTGTGTTAATTTTGTGTGCACTGTGTGTTCGGCTTTGGTGTGTGTGTGTGTGTCTGTCTGTGTGTGTGTACATGTGTTATATGTGTGTCTTGTGTTTTTTAATGCTAGTCTTTTTGTGTATTTGTTTTATATGTTTTTGTCTATGTGTGTGTACGTGTGTGTGCGTGTGTGTGTACTTGTGTGGGTGCTCCTGTCTGATTGCCATGGTCTCCTTACGCAAACGCTTACGCAACCATGCAGCCTGGTGGCTGATCTCCTTTTTGCCATGTATGTGTGTGTGTGTGTCTGTGTGCGCGCGCGCGCGTGCGTGTTTAGCCCTTTCTTGTCATTCCCAGACACGACAGCCTCTGAAACCGAGCGAGTCGCTGCCCTCTTTGAAGAGCGAGAGAGAGGATTAGCAATTAATTCTGATCTCTTTTTTTCCAGAAACTTCATTAGAGTTTAACTTCCACAGGCTCTAATCTGATCTGTCGCCGTGACGATGCCCCACAGATACACCGGGCAACTGCGTGTATGTGTGTGTGTGCGAGCGTGTGTTTGCCCTTGTGCATTCTTGTGTGTTGTATGTGCACGTTTGTGACCCCCTGGTGCACTTTTGTGCTTGTGTGTTTGTGTTTGTTAGTCCTTTAATGTTCTTGAAAGCACAAAGTATACACAAGCAGTATATATAGAGGGTAGGTTCATCACTGCTGCTGTTACTTTGACTACTATTATTATTACTTGTAAAATTACAGTCACTACTGCCACAGCTTGACTTGTGAACAGCTGCAGTGACAGTTACACAGGAGATTTTTAGATTGTGTTGTCTCAGCTGATAGAGGAGGTGATCCTCCAGCAGGGGGAGCTATGCGTCTGTACAGCAGGTAATGAGCCTGTTCTCATCTGTACACACTGTATGCACTATACGCCTGAACAAGTTATTTCATGTGGTCTGGAGTCATAAAACATCAAACTAACTCCTGAAAGAATCTGCCAGAGGGAGAACCTGCAGATTGACTTCAATGTTTTTCTTGGGTCAAATGCGAGCTTTTTTCTTTCTTTTGTTTTTCTTCCTGCCGCAGCTGATTTCATTCTGTCGGCTTAAACAAACATTTTTATTTGTACTTTTTTTTTTTTTTAACCTTGAAAAGTACATGTTCAGATTTTTTTCTTTTTATATTTTTGACTTAATGGTTCATGAATTCTTTGACAGAGAAGCTGCAAAAAAAAAACTTTGAGTCTGAGAATCAGATTTTTCTCAAAATTTGCTGCTCTGATATTGGTGGCATTTCATTTATTTCCAAAATCCATTCAGTATTTTAGGATAACACAAAGGAGGTTGATTTGCCTCACTGAAAGATTTGGACCTGAATCATAAAAATGTGAAACAGTCTCATGTTTAAAGCTCACAGTCTTCCCCATCTCTAACTTCCCATTGCTCCACTGTCATCCTTAAGGCTTTCTCTTGCTGCTGCTGCTGCTGCTGCTGCTGCTGCTCGGGAAAGAACATGAATCAAAAATGGAAAAAAAAACCCCACAGATTTCATAAAGTTCAAAGATTAATTTTGAAATATTATAGAACTGGATTCCAGTCAGAGAGAAATCAGAGAATTTTTAAAAGCCCAGTTGGGAATTAGTATGAAGGATGGAAGGAAGCACTTTACAGGAATATGTGCATCTGTGTGTGTGTGTGTGTGTGTGTGTGTGTGTGTGTGTGTGTGTGTGTGTGTGTGTGTGTGTGTGAGGTAGCACATGGCTCACAGCTTCCACACACTCTTGGCTGGAAACATCTACAGCTCATAAATTACCAGAAATCTCAACCCAGCACCCTCCCTGCTTGTTGCCAGTTACTGCCATGTGTGTATGTGTGTGTGTGTGTGTTGGTATGTGTGACGGTGCACAGTACACACACACACACTGACACGCACACTAAGCACTTCTTCCTATTCTGCAGGGTGTCCGGCGGCGAGCTGTTCGACCGTATCGTGGAAAAAGGTTTCTACACGGAGAAGGACGCGAGCACGCTGATCCGACAAGTCCTGGACGCTGTTAACTACCTGCACAGGATGGGCATCGTACACCGAGACCTGAAGGTACTGCAACACACACACACACACACACACACACACACACACACACACATGCACACGCATACACATTCCCTGCCTCTTCACTGAGGCCTGACCACACATACACACACACTCTCACTCTCCACTCCCAGATTTTAAATGCACACAAGTGGTTTGTTCTCACTTGGCAGCCTGTGATTTACTGCAGCAATAAGGGCAGTGGCCCAACACATGCAGTGCATTGTGGGTCAGCGTGGCGCGTGCCGGCTGTTGGAAGAGAGGGGATTGGTTAGAGCAACCTCCATAAAGCGGCTGGGTGTAAAAGGAGGAAGAAAAGAGGGTGTCTGACACTTTCTTTTATAATCACATTCATATTATCTGCTCAGGTTTGTCTCCTACAGGAGACTTGTGTTAACGAATTATTCAGCAAAACAACCGTGAATTTTAAAACCATTGAAAGTCACAGACATGAAATCTTTCTCTCCGTCTGTCTCCTCTCTGCAGCCGGAGAACTTGTTGTATTTTAATCCTCAAGACGAGTCAAAGATCATGATCAGCGACTTCGGACTTTCCAAGATGGAGGGCAGCGGTGACGTCATGTCCACTGCCTGTGGCACCCCAGGATACGTGGGTAAGTTGGTCAGTCTTTAAAAGGGTCTCATACAGTATATACACATGGTGGCTGTACACTGTACATGAGAAGTGACTGAGGCCAAACACATCACATCACATTCGTCTAGAAGAAACAGCTTTCTTCTTCTATTGCAGTATACTTAGTTCTACCATTACAAGTATAATGAGGAAAAATTTAAGATCAGACTTATGCCATTTTAGCACAACCCTGTTTAGCGTCCTTGCTAACATGCTTGGACAAACAAGACAAAGGTTACACTCCCATGTCATTGTTCAGAATTTGAAATCGTAAGTTTGACTTTTATCGCTACAAGCGAAAAGTCGTTTCTCACTACACAATGTTGGGAAATGGTAACGTTATCTTGGGTAACCCTGCTTCTCCAAATCCAATGAAGAGTTGAACATAGCTTGTTAATGTTAGCCTAACCTCTGATAGCGTCCAGGACCAGCTTCCACACAGTGTAGACAATACACCGATCAGCCGCAGCATTCAAACCAGTTACCTGTTTTAATGTTGTGGTGGATGGGTGTAGCTCGCCACCTTACATCAGAGCAGATAAACACTGCTTAATGTGCTCCTTACGTTTTTTTTTATCATTTGGTTTCGGAAAGGTTGTGAGGGTAAATGTGAATATGAACTGAGCTGTCTTTAGTGCAGGTGTGAATCACATGTCATTTCCATCTGACACCATTTATGTTTTCCTGTGTGTGTGTGTGTGTGTGTGTGTGTGTGTGTGTGTGTGTGTGTGTGTGTGTGTGTGGTGCTCAGATAGTCTGTGTACAGCTTACAAACACACACACCAATCATGCTTATCACTCCCTGACAGACAACCCCCCTCTGTAGAGTCAACACAGAGCGCTGCTTTGTGTGTAGGTGTGTGTGTGTGTGTGTGTGTGTGTGTGTGTGTGTGTGTGTGTGTTGTCGTGCATGCATATGTTATGTTGTACATGTGTGAATGCATATGCATATACAGTATTTCATATTTTGTGTGAATATGTGCACATTTGTGTATACATGTGAGTGCTGCTGCTTGTGTGTGTTTGAGCATTTCTGTGTGTGTGTGTGTGTGTGTGTGTGTGTGTGAGTGTGTGTTGTTGTTGTAAGAGACAGATGTTCAGTGTTGACAGTACACAAACTTCTGTGGTGGAACACAAACAGACTGTTTGCTCTGATCATGTTTCTGACAAACATTGTACGAACTCTCTCATAAACAAATCTGTTGTAGAAACACAGGCAGATTCATGAATAACTGTTTTCATTTTAATGTTTTGAAATTAATTTTGCAGCGCCCCCATCAGGCCAGCTGTAACACATTACAGTCTGGAGTTATTGTATTTTCATCAGCTGCTCACACACTGCCTGCTTTGCCTTTGGTTTGATACTTCTGAAATTTGACTTTGATAAAACTGTAGGTGCTATTTACTCAAACACACACACACACACACACATATACACACACACACAAAAATCAAATCACCCAGGACTTGACTTTAAATGTTCATACCCTAGCATCAGTCACTCTCCTCCACTCTCTCCACTCATCTCTCTTTACTTTCCTCATCCATCTATCCTTCATCATTATGGCCTTCACAGTCGACCCCCCTCTTGCTCTCCTGCAGAGGTTTACTTGACCACAGGGTATTTCCACTCCAGACAATTTGTGTCTAAATATAACTTAGGTATAAATAACCCTGGAACTCACCAAATGAAAACCAGATCCGAAGAATTAGCATGAGTATGTGCGTGTGCAATGACACGTTTTTTTTTTTTTACGACATACTTCATTCCACAAAAGTTACTTCAGTAGGCCGGTGTTGTAACAGCTCACCAAACTGAACTGATCCTACTAACACACCAAAAGTAGATCCAGACAATCTGCAGCAAGTATGTGATGAGTGATAAAGTAGTTGGATGACATGACATGAAGTGCAGTAAAACTAAGTGTTAAATTTAAATTAAATGGGCGCTAGAGAACTATAAATTCCTGGGTAACAGTGGTCGACCTCAGTCCAACCAGTTTATTCAACAAAAAAGTGTTTTAACAGTCGTTGATTTTTATCATCCTGAAAAAACACAATGCCTTTCACAATGCCTTTCATAACATATTGATCTATTGGTTTATGTGTAGGATTGATCCCCACAACTTTAAAGGTTCTATATGTAAGTATTTTAATTTAAGACATTAAACAATTAACTAAGATTATCAACAGAATGTAAAGAAATACCAGTTTTGACTTTGCGTCAAAGACGTCTATGTATTGTGTTGCAGAGATATCTATTGAGGTTAGCATGCTAATCAGCTAGTCCCAGCCCGACCCTTCTTTTAAAACATCTTTACACTTCAAGAGGCGATAGTAGGCGTGTCCCAGAAGGCCACACCTTCAAAGCACGCAGTCTTCAAAGGTGTGGCCTTCGTAGCCGTCATAGACCACTACGGCCGAATCTAAACAAGACGGTCTGGTCTCCAGAGGATTTCTGCTTTGCGTCACCAACTGTGCCCGCCCTCACAAAATACTGCTCAATGCGTGTTTTCACTGACAATGAAAAAATATCGCCTAGTAACCCTGACAACACGTAACTTTTTTTCTTACAAAAACTGGAGGCTTTAAGTTTCTTGGTTTGTGACCCAATCTATGCAGCATTGGCAACATGTAAATAACTGCCCTATCCAGAGGTTAGATTTATTTAACTTCAATGTGAAGGTTTGTGATTGGCCAGTGAGCCCAGTACTGGAACACAGACGCAGTAGTAGACAGGTACACAGAGAGGGCCAGTAAAAACAGTGGCCCAATAGGTTTTCACCCAGTACACACTCTTACATGTAACCCCTTTAACCGAAAGTTTATAATTGTTGTTACTATGACGATGAAGGTCCGCTAGTATGCTCCTATACAGGTCTTATTATTGTCACCAAAACAACAGTAAATTGGAGGACTTATTGGATTTTGTTGTTTTCTTCCACAATAAAATGAGACAAACATCTGAAAGCTCATGAAAACGAGACACAACACAATCAACAGCAACAGCAGCTTGTTTGGAAATAAAAAAGGAAGAACTGAGTCATTATCATGGGCTGAAACCGACTCTCAAACTTCATTAACTAAAAATCCAGAGTCTATGAAGTCCCAGCCAGTGTTTGACATATTTGAAGAGCATGCAGGATACAAAACACTCACTCATTAGTATTTAGAGTATTTATGAGTTACAGGAAATGACAATAAAAAAATATCAGGTTACTGCTATAATAATATTACATATATTTACTTTCTATTAGTTCTAAACCTAAGTAACATCTTGACCCAACTTATTTTTTGAAGTAGTGAGCACCAGACAGAATGACCTCAGCGTGTAAAAATGTCCTAATTCTGAATCCAGCACAACAAGGACACACACACACACACACACACACACACACACACACCTTCACAATGAGTCAGAGCAGACCTATAAACAAACTTCAGCTCTCTGATTCACCACACGTGTGCAAAGTTTATGTTTTGCCCCAGATATGAGTGGTATTTCTTCATATCTTGCTATGTCTGTGTGTGTGTATGTGTGTGTGCCAAATCTATTTCGAGCCAGCCTTATGTGTGTATGTGCGAGGTGATGTGATGGTGAGCTCATTGTCAGCAGTAATTTGCTCTGTCCGGGGCCTCGGTAATGAGCTGCAGAGGCAGGTCAGGCCAGTCAGCTTCACAAAGACCATGAGAGAACGGCAGACATGTCTTGGGTTTGATAGTCATCTCTCTGATTTCAGGTACAGAACATGAACGTGTACCTCCCACAGAAAATTTCCCACCATTAACCAAACTGCCATGTGATTTTAATTTTGGTAGACACTGAGAGTCTGCATACTTTCTCTGTATTCAGGCTCATAAACAGCTACATTTTCACGTAAAAGCCACATACAGCTTTAACTAGACCCTAAAGTGAAATGCTACTGAAAACACAGTCCAGACTTAAGCTTCATTAAACAACAACCAGGCTACTTTAAAATGGAGTCATAGTACTAGTAGTAAGAACTGAATGTACCTAAAATAACTGATCACTTCTTTCTCTGGCTCTCAGCTCCAGAGGTCCTCGCTCAGAAGCCGTACAGTAAGGCAGTGGACTGCTGGTCCATCGGAGTGATTGCCTACATCCTGTAAGTACCAACTCGTCCTCTTTTTATGACATCACTCTGTACAGGAAGTATGACATCACACCGTACAGGTTTTATCCAAGCTCTCAAACTGACATCACTTCAATTTCAGTTTATAGTTTCTCACCAGGGAACGACATTAAGACTGTGAATTGTGGATCCTCGCCGCATAATACAATTACATTACATTACAATAATATTATTACCGTAATCACTGTGTAATTATTGTCACTAACATGAGTAGATGGGCAGACTAGAGACTTAAGACTTGCAGACAAACCTGTGTTTGACTCAATGTGGAGATTGTGACTTGAGTGCTTAAATGTCTACCCACACAGGACAACTTTCATTCTCATTGGTTCATCACATGTCATTTGATCCATTGTTAATAAAAAAAAATTGATTTGGGGACACTGCAAATTGATAACTGTCTGATAATTGTCATATTTTGTACTGAACAAGCTTTTCTTTCCTTTCTTTTTTTTGGGTTATTGCTTTTTTTGGACGTGTTTATGTGTGCTGCACGTTGTAAGATGCTGCTATACTTATACAATAAATACATTTTTGATTAGAGTAACTTTAATTTAAGAAAACTGGTTTTGTGTCATTTGACTGGACAATTATCCGCGTTCGTACATTCATCCAGATTTCAGTCTTAAACTGTAACTTGCTCTGAAAGACGTGAGATTCGAGTTGAGGCCTTTCCGTTCAGAGAGGACACTGAGAGGGGCTGTCATGTCTCATGCACGGGTTGGTGCTCCTGTAAGTGTCGGAGCCTCCGTGTGAGACGCATTGATCAGCGATTGTGTTTTTAAAACTTATTTCAGGGCTGCGGCTCAATCTTTCATCCCTGAGCGGAGTGTAGCCATGGCGTTTCTGGTTTAACAGCACCGTGCTGGACAGGTGACAGGTGTGTTTACAGTGTTTGTGCTTTGAAAGATGTTACAGCAGGAAAAGGGGCAGGAAAAGGGGCAGGAAAATTAGCGGTTCACCCAGGTGTTGTGTTTACATCAGTGCCGATCGGCCCGGAGCCGATAAATACTTGTGACTGCTGCAGTCATTTGAACCTGGAGTGAATACTGATTGTACCCTTTCCCATTGCCGACTAAAGCCTGATGTTTGCGGGTCTTGGTGGGTTTTTTGACCAGTGTAAAAGTACAGTGTTACAGAACTTGCACCTCCATTGAAGCAGCTCTGCCTTTCAGTCTTTCCTCTCCTTTCCTAGCAGTTGGTCAGAGCACCACAGCTGCTGAATCTAAGAGTCAGACACAGTTATGCCATGGGTTAGGGTTAGACACACTTTAAACCACCTTCACATTCTCTCCATCAAGCTTGATAGCACTGATTTGTCATGTACCAGTAACTGCACAGATAGCAATGCTAATGTATGCTAATGTGTGTACAGACCCTGAAGCCCTCAAAGGTCATGTAGCACTAACTCTACACTGTTACTGAACATGAAGCACTTGTGATGACAAGTGTTTGTTGATATTACCCTGCTTGTATTTGCTTGTGTGTGTGTGTGTGTGTGTGTGTGTGTGAGTGTGTGTGTGAGTGTGTGCGTGCGTGCGTGCGTGCGTGTGCATGTGTGTGTGTGTGTGCCATCATCAGAGCCAGATGGAGCTCTGCTGAATTTCCTTGTATGGACATGGAGCTGCAGGGTAGATTTCTTTTCCACTTTTGTTTTTTTTTTGTTTTTTGCTTTGTTTTTCTTCTGCTGTGTCACCCCCACCTCCTGCACTCCCCTTCACACACACACACATACATTCACTTGCAGTATGTGTGTGTGTGTGTGCACATGCTAGAAATCCACAATAATGTGTATATGTGTTAGTAATAATATATGTGTTACTGTGATGTGCATGAAGTACTTTTAGAGTGTGTGTGGAATGTGTACAATGTTACGGGTCATTGTGCGTGCGTGTCCTGCCCACTTACATGTGGGTGGGTGGGTGGGTGTGTGTGTGTGTGTGTGTGTGTGTGTGTGTGTGTGTGTGTGTGTGTGTAGAGCATGACCCCTAAAGTGTGTTCCACACTGTTGACACCTGAAGCCACCGCTTTAATTATTTTAAGGTGTGAGTGTTTCTCCATCTGTCTCCATTTATGTGTGTGTGTGTGTGTTCCACCTGATACACACATTACTATCTTGAGCATGAGGTCAGATCAGGGGTCAGAGGTCAGCAGCAGGTTAATGGGATGCAGAGTGTGGGATGTGGCAGAGAGTATAAGGCACGCACAGACTTAACAAATGTTTGTGTGTCTGTGATTTGTGTCTAATGTTTGAAATGAATGTCTCTCACCCTCTCTCTCTCCATCTCTCCCTCACTTTTTCTGTCACATAAAGTAAATGTGTGTGTCACATCGTGTGTGTGCCTTTGTATATCTGTAAACCACCATGTGAAATTAATTCAGCTTTTTCTATAAAAGTAGGAGTTCAATGGAGAAAGTGACTGTGTGTGTGTGTGTGTGTGTGTGTGTGTGTGTGTGTGCGCACGCACGTGGAGAGAAAGAGCAGCTCCCTGCTGGCAATTAGCACAATTAGCGCTGGGACTCAGACCTTGTTAGCTTTTAGCTGTTGCTCAGGTGGAAAGATCACATCAGGTAATCAGCCATGATAATCACTCAGGATTCTGTGTGTGTGTGTGTGTGTGTGTGTGTGTGTGTGTGTGTGTGGTGGCTGTGTGTGTGTGTGTGTGTGTGTGTGTGTGTGTGTGTGTGTGTGTGTGTGTGTGACGTCTGAGTCATGAAAGTAGAAAATAAAAGAGAAGCATCCCTTCACACCAGGTGGTACCGTCCTTCCTGGTTTGTCTGTGTGTGTGCATGTGTGTGTGTGTGTTTGTGTGTGGGTGTGTGTTCAATGAAGTGGAGGGTGAGCTTGGGGTGAGTTTTTAAATGAGACACCAGAAAAACAAATTGAAAACCTTTCTATCCTCATGGCAGGCAGAACTCTCCTCCCTTTCTTTTTTCCTGGGGTGTTTTTCTTTGTGTGTGTGTGTGTGTGTGTGTGTGTGTGTGTGTGTGTGTGTGTGTGTGTGTGTGCGTGTGCGTATGTGTGTGTGTGTGTATTGATGGAGAACGGCATTTTAATGAGTTTCTATGAAAATCTCTTGGTGCATCCAGAACTTGAGTAATGAGGTGCAGATGATGTTTTTGGTCAGCTCTGCTGTTGGTTCAGGTGGCTGTGGAGACTCAGACTGGTGTAGACTGGGAACCAGTAATCTCATGTTCACTTGATTACAATGATACAGACAACAACTGCTAACACAGAGAGCGGAGGGGCTGTCACATGAACCACTGCTGTGACTAACATCACCTCTGCCGTATACAGTATACAGCATACAGATTTCACTCAGAAATCAGAAATATCAATCAGAAAATAATGAAAAGTGTCCATCACAGTTTCCCAGAGCCAGAGTTAAAAGACAAGATGAGATTTTAATAACCTAAAAATTTTATTTTACGTTATTGATCCGAGGGGGAGGAATTAGACATTACAGCAGCACAAGAGGAAACAAGCTGCACACAGTAGATACAACATGATAGAGCAGGCAGAGGAATAAATATTATGAACACTGCCCAGTAATGAAAATCACATTAAATCTTTATTCAGATAAAAAAAAAAAAACTGTAAAGAACAAATTGAAATAAACATTTATATATGATATGGTATTATATTATATTATATTATACCAATATGATCGTAGAATATGCAGTAATAAATAATCAATAAATGAATGATATATTGACTAATAGATCAATTACTAAAAACTTGATTTTTAGCAAATGAAATGTGTAAGTGTTAATAAATGCATCAATGACTGAATGAGTAGCTGGATAAATGAATGAAAAGAATGAAAAACTGAATAAATGACTTTGTGTGCAGACTCTGTGGTTATCCTCCGTTCTACGACGAAAACGACTCCAAGCTCTTTGAGCAGATCCTGAAAGCCGACTACGAGTTTGACGCTCCGTACTGGGACGACATATCCGACTCAGGTGAGTCTTCCTCCGCCTCCTCCTTCTTCTTCTTTGACTAATTGTCCTTCTTCGTCCAACATGTGGCACATATGGAACACAGACCACCTCCATCACGGCCTCTGACATCATCTGCCTGGAATGAATGTATGTGGGAATGTTGTGTGTGTGTTAGTGTGTGTGTGTGTGTGTGTGTGTGTGTGTGTGTGTGTGTGTGTGTGTGTGTGTGTGTGTGTGTGTGTGTTGTGGGTGTTTGTGTTGTGTGCAGGGTCACTCAACCACACTTTAATGTGCACAGCCTGGCAGTAAAACCAACTTGTGTGTTTGAAAAGCCAGACTACATATTGTTGTCAGTCTGGTAGAGAGTGTTTTTAGTCATGCTAGTGACGTGGATCTAGATTGAAATATCTCAACAACTTTCTGATGGATTTCCATGAAACTTGGTGCAGGTATCCAAGGTCTTTTCAACTTTTCATCTAGCGCCATCATCAGGTCAACAGTTATATTTTTATGACACTGAATTTTGACTTAGGTTTGGAGTTGTTTGTGTCCTCTCTACAGAGGCATGCCCCATCCCCCATGTGGTCGGATCAGACAGTGTTGTCCAGCTGTGCTCTGATTGGTTCAGCCCAAGTAACACATTGAGAGTATAAAACTATTTCAATCATGGGCTTCAAACGCTTTCTGTAATTAAATATCTAAAAGAAAAAGTCTTACCAGATGGGGGTCTGTGGTCTCATATGTGTCAGTTTAGGGTCCTTGATGTGAAAAAGTTTGACAACCACTGGTTTATAGAAAACCTTCAAAACTAATGATATTCCCATCAGCCTAATTAGCTAATTTTAGCTTCATCTTCATCAAACTGCTTTTTAAAGCATGAATTGTCCAGAAAAATTATTTCTTTTGATTCCTGCTTGTAAAAAAGCGCTTACTTCCTGAACCCCAACAATACAGGAGTTGATAGATACTGTACAGTAAATGACAGTTATGTCATGGGAAAGTCTATCGAGTGGATCAAATATGTAAGGCCCCTAAATTACAGGAAGTATTGAATGATTGACCCTGTAATGTTATTTTACTCTGACCTCATTGTTTACTTTATTTTATTTACTTCCAGCCCCCCTCAGATGCTTTCCATTGTTCTTATGTGCACACTTTACCTCCCCAAACTGTATAAAGTTCTGAAATTTTGAAAAACTGTGGACGGCAGAGGAAAGTAGAGTGTCTTTTCCTGATGCATGTTTTGTAATATAAACTGCTGCCCCAGAATAAAGAAATAAAAAAAGTATTTCAAGTTGGTATGATGGTATGAAGTTATTGACAGTTTATGACCTTTATAATGTTTTTCTCTCTCAGCCAAGGATTTCATCAGCAGTCTGATGGAAAAAGATCCAGCCAAGCGTTTCACCTGTGAACAGGCACTCAGACACCCTTGGTGAGAAACACACACACACACACATACACAGTGTCAAACAGGCTAACAAAAAGGCATAAAATCAATAAAGATATTGATGTACATTCAGAGGTGTTAACAGAGAATTTGGGTGTGTTTGTGTGTGTGTGTGTGTTTTAGGATCGCTGGGGATACGGCTCTCTGTAAGAACATCCATGAGTCAGTCAGCCGACAGATCAGAAAGAACTTCGCCAAGAGCAAATGGAGGGTAAATTTTTTTTTACTACAGTTTATTCTCTGTGGTCATGGCTCTGTTGCACGTATCGCTCCAGGACAACTCCTCAAACGACTGTTTCTAGAGGATGAATCACTCTGTAGTCATATACCTGGCCAGCCATATGGTCAGGAGTCGGCCACGTTCCTCCTGAGGCTCTCAGAAGACACTTTGTTTAGGAACAGTCTGTCAGCTTCAGCTCTTCACTGTGCATCCAGCTCGTTTTCAACCTCAGATGTTTTTGATGGAAGATAAAATACAGCAGAAAGCCATATCATGGCCCTTTAACACTAGTGATAGTTCATTGAAAGCAGATTGTACATGTCTATAACTTCAAAGTCAAGATGAAATGAAAAATCACCAAAAATAATCCCCCCCCACTCGTGAGACAGTGCGTTGATCTCATGCCAACCAACAGGTTGAAATAAAAACTTCAGTTAATTAAACCATCACGGCCTTGACTCTGTCTAACTGATAAGCCCTCAGTGATGTGTCTCACCAAAACATCCTATTTTAACAAGAAACGCATCATATAAAATAAACGATGCTATTAAAATGGTGTTTTGCAATGGCTTTTATTTTACCAAAATTCTCCATCCATCCAGCAAGCGTTCAATGCCACCGCCGTGGTTCGACACATGAGGCGGCTACAGCTTGGCAGCAGCATGGGGAGCAGCATGGACGCCTCCAACCCGCCGACCAGGCTGAGCCAGACACAGAAGCCGGCTCAAAGCCAGAGCCAGGCGGGCCAGAACCAGCCAGCTCAGAGCCAAAACACCGGCCAGGCGGCTCAGAGCCAGAGCACCAACATAGCCGCCAGCAAAACCACTTCCACTGACAACAACATAGCAGCTCCACGCAAGGAATGTGAGTATGAGTGAATAGTATCAGTGGCACCAGAGAGGCAAGACGAACATATGTGCAGGACCAAAAAGTTAATGACTTGATTATTTGCTAAAACTCTCTCCAAACAGCAAGTGTCCAATCATAGCGTAGCAAGTTCTGAATCTCCCCACAAGCTGAAGTGATGTGTGGGGCTGTAGTAAGAGACACACTACATATATGAAGAGTTTAGAGGGTGGTATCTCTGTTTTTTAGCATTTCCAAAACCAAAACACAAGAGCAAAAATGTAGGGATTAAATTAAACACTGTTTCTCTGTTTTGATGTGAGCTTCAAATGTTAGCGTGTCCAACTAACTAGCTTACACGCTAACGACCCACTAACTACTTTGTTATTTTGTCGTTAAAGGTTTCATAAAAAAGCACACACACTTTACACAATAGCACATTCATTGTGTGATATTTTCCAACTGTTTAGGAGCCAGTCCTGTGCTACAGCAGCATATCAGAGTGTAGGCTAACATTAGCAGCAATGTACTGATGTATTTGGGGTAGTTTACATTTCAGCAACCTCCGCCAAACAAAATTATCCAAAATAGTGTTGTGTTCACACTGCAAAACCTTATCCTAAAGGCCTAAAGTAAACCAAACTATTTTAAAGTACAAACAATAAAGTATAAAAAGAATGAAAGTATAGGCTACACATAAGCTAATTAGTCAAATGGTTAAAATGAAATGACAGAACTACATTGGTCATTTTACATTTTTACTTGTCACACTTGTCATAATACTGGGACTATATGGCTTGACACTGCAACATGTCTGCTACACTTCAGCTGCAAGTGTTGCAGTAGTCCCGCTACAGGGGACATTAGCTTTAGCCTTAGGCTTTTTGCATGATGCCATGTCAAGTGCTGTGACATCAAGCCTATATTTAAGACGCTTTCACAAGAGTCTTATTTTAAAACAAATCAGCATCAACTGGCTTTAAAAAGATCAGCTGGACATGGTGTTTTCGTCCAACTCATCGAGCTAATGTTAGCTTAAATAGCTAGCTAGCTACAGCTCATCTAATCAAGGACCCATTGTTTCAAAAATTACAAAAATTTGGAATGATGAATCTGTCACCATTATCACTGTAAACTGTGAACGTGTTGTGCGAGAACGCAAGACTTGATATGTGGAGCAACAGTAACTAAGTGCAGCAGGGCTTAGCAAACAGTCAAATTATAAAAATGTTGCTGGTGTAACAGCTAAGTGCTCCCTCTCAGGTGTCACTGCGCCAGCCACGCCCTGCAGTCTGGCATCCGCAGCCTCTTCTCCTGCTGCAGGGGCGGAGCTGAACCGGCCACACCCCTCGGCGGTGCCCGCCCCAGTGCTCACAGAGACCAAGTGACGCCAGGTCCCGCGGGGAACCAGCTGGGAGGCCACGGCGCTGTGAGGCAGAGAGAAACAGAGGACAACAGGAGAGGAGAAGGATCACCCTCTTCTCCCTTCCTCTCCTTACTGTACTTCCTCTTGGATGCCACCCAGCCAGTTCCCCGCCCTGCTCCCGGGAGAGCAGAGGACTTTACCTCCACCCCACCGATTCAAGCCACACAGCGCCATACTGTACACCCACCACCCGCCCACCAGAACAACAACAGCACGGCCACTGACTCTCATTGAGGATGTTCGTGTGGAATGCTGTGATCGTTTGCTATTTAATGATAAACGGGCGTCGACTGCTCCAAGCTTGAGCTGTAATTAGTGGTTCAGGAGGGGCCGGTGGTATCATATTATTCACTGTCAGTCAACATCAACTTCCCTCTTGAATCTGGTCTTTCCTGCACAACGTTATTTAGCTTTTTTCCAACTTAGGTTTGACTGTTGGCAACTGGATTGTTTTATTTTCTATTATTACTGTTCATTTTAAAGGTGCTATGTGTAACTTCAAACAAACATATCATTGTCAGATTGATAGTGCTACTTTGGTATTGTGACTGTAAATAAATAAGACCATAGCCAAGAAGAGAGTTTCTCTAGATTGAGACCGCATTTCCCAGAAGCCCATTGTTTCTTCTGGCTTCCTCCATCACCACATTCTCTGGAATAGGCACCCTTCTCCGTACAGCAATGAAGATTTCCCTTCAAATCTGACCGAGTATCTGAGTAAAATGCAGAATAGAGGCCAACAGTCTTCTGAGCAATGACCTCACTTGTTTACACAAATTCTACTAATTTTGCAAACTGATGAGACAATGATTTATCCATGTTAAAATGCTACACATAGCACCTTTAAGATCTTTTCTATATCCTTACAAGCTTGTTTTGTCTGTTTGTTTGTGCTTTAAGAAGTGCTTTAAAAGTACCATACAACTGTTGAGATGTGAAAACATGAGTAAGCGCTTTATCTATTTTGCACAGAGAGGGTTAGATATGTTCTCAGACACAGATTAGCCGCCATCCACTTATGTTTTTCTGACAGAGAGTAGAGATTGTAAACCTTTATAAAAAAAAAAAAAATGTGGATGTCAGAGCATTGTACAAGTTGTTTATTGTCTGAAAGATTCTGATTTGTTTATTATTTTCTTACTTTATAAGACTTTTATAACAATCGCCCTTTAACGGGCGCACGTACAGGTTACTATGAAGCATGCAGCAGGTTTAGGATAGGATAGGAAAAGATAGAGATGTGTATTTACTGGCAAACTGCCTCCAGTTGAGAGTGTTTGTGATTAGAGATAGTTTGTCATTTGACTTCCCAAACTAAGGAGCCACAAGCAGCGCAATGCAGTTTCAAGGTAGCTAAAATATACAAGACATGTTAGACACCGTCTCAGAGGTATTTAACTGCCTCCCACATGGGTCCTCAGAGTATTTGGCCCACGAAGCTGTTGCCTGCCGTTGTTCATTCCCCCTCTAATGAAGCCATGATCTCACCTTCTTGCATTGTCAGGCTGCACCCAGTTCAGACGTGCTCAGGGAAAACTGCAGCTGCACTGTGTGCCGGCAAACACCGGTATCCCGGTTTAGGGGTTTCTGTCATGGTCCAGGCGTCGTGGCAACATAGTCAGTGACCCAGGACTCAAGGAGTTAGCTGTGTCGTTGTAGTGAATATTGAATATTGAGGACATGGTTTCAGAGTGAACCACCAAGGACTGGGTATCGATACTGAAAAGTGTCACCTGATCACCTGGTTGGTTCACACCATTGGCCAACTTGTAGAAAATCTGAATCAGAAAACATCAGTGGACTTGAAATCTGAGTGAGGCAACAGTTTTTTGTGTAATTTGGAGCTCTTCAAGTTTTTCTTAAAAGCAAGTTAATGTCTCATTTAAAGTGATAAAAGACTTTTTATTTAAGTTTTTTTTAAGTTTTTTTCTTGTTGTTCTTAATGGAACTCAGACTTTACTTGAACGTGACTTGACAGTAGCTTAAATTGTGGTAATGGCCTTTCAGACATAATTCAGAATGCAGAAGTGTACAATGCTGGGTGCTCTGTCACACATATCAGATTGTCACGTCTTTATTACATGCAATTCTACTGATCCCTTTATTGTGAATTGTAGCCAAAGACTAGTGCGAGGTACAAAGATAATTAGATTCATTCTGCAGTACTTGGTGAACTAGCTTGAACAGAACCAGTCAGATCTGAAGTTGTTCAAGACAGTGAAGTAAAACTAAGGGCTGAACTCCAGCTGCAAATTAATCTGGAGAGAAGAAGACTTGAGACTTTCTCTTCCTAATCTTTTTTTACTATCTCCACAGAGTGCTGCTGAAAAGTATCTGCAAATTATTAATAGTAGTTTGTTTAATAATAGTTTAATCCGTTTTTGCTTAGTGAGTGTGAAACCACAAGTCAAGTCAAATCAAGGTAAAAAAATAACAGTAAATCAACACTCACCCAAGCTTTCTGGAATTCACTTTTGGCTCGCTGCATTGTTTTGTGTATGAAGGCCAACCTATTTGGCACTGAACAACTAACTGACTAAAACAAACCATAACAAGACATTTGTGAATAAACCTCCTCACTCTGCTCTGCAAGGACAATTCCAGTGTGTTTGGATTTTATGCTTTTTCCCCATGTTTCCTCAGTTTTATATGATCTCTAGCTTTTATCACTCATAACGATGGCTATATATATATATATATCTTTTTCTTATTGTTTATAAATCCCACGGAAAGACCAAAATCATGTCCAACCTACCTACCCTGTCTGCGGCCTTCAGTCCATTGGTTCCTACTTGTCACTTGCTGCTGTAGTTTTTAGCAAATGTCACTCTAACAGGAGTAAGTAGTGCATTTTTTTGGGACTGTTTTCCACGGTGCATTAATCGTGATGATGTGTTTGAAAAAATAACCCTGATGATGTCATCAGGGTTGTCTCTGCAGCAGTTCAAACTACAAGTGTGGGGTTTGAAATGTTGGCATTTAGGAGGCAGGGAGGGTTAATGAAAGTTGCTTTGAATTGCATTATGGGATATGTATGAGCCAGCATTTTTTGGGCTTGACCTATACTAGATGTGTCATCTTCTGTTGCTGTGGTGTTAATCACACTGGAATTGTCCTTGACTCATTCATATGTTTGGACTAATAATTGTACGTTCAGACTGAAAGTGGCGAGAATGTCAAAGTGACTGGGAGTCATTCTTTTTCTCTGTGAGCAGGCGTCTCTTGCCGGCGAGCAGCAGCACGCCAGTTGGCGGTGCGTCCCGAGCAGCGTGGGCGTAAGAAAAAAAAAAGGTTGAAGTCATCTACGTCAGAGCGACCACAAACTTCAACAGCGTCCTTGTCAGAGCAGCCAGAGCAAATTTTTACGCTCGCCGCTTCAGGTCTGAATGTGCAGTTACACACACACAGCACATTTGCTGCATTGTTATTCAGAATAATTCATTCACTTCAGCTAGTTGCATATGTGGTGACAGCACTGTCATGGAACAGACACTTGTCGTTATGGAGACTGACGACAGATTTTCAGAGCATTTTGGATGAAAACACTGCAGTTACTTTATGCATGTGGTCCCAGCGGTTACTCCAGTCACAGTAGAGGTATAGTAGAGTAAGGTGTCTGAGTTAAGGCCAGCTAACCTGATTTATTGTGTTTTTTAAATGTGCACTTCTCAAAGCAGTCATAGAGAAAGCTAACTTTTTAGTGTTTCTTACTGAATTCCAACACCCACGTGTCTCCTCCTTCTACATGTCGACACAGTTCAGCTTCAGAAACCTGTATTTATTCTTGACGTTTTTTACAGCGGGGTCTTGTGTTACATTTTTCTCTACTAACCACACTTTAAAGTCAATCCTCGTAATTACCCACATGTCACTAAGGGAACCTTTTAACCATGTAAGGGCTTTATTCCAATGATCACCTTAATCTGATTATTCACTGTAATCATCTACACGTACCCATTTACTGCTATGCATTTTTTTAACATGTTTTTTCAGTGCTTTTTTCTTGAAGGTGGAATAAGGAAACATCAGCAGCTATAGTTAAAAAAAAAATATATGTAAGTGCAAGACACCGAATCCCTGCCAGATCCTATACGATTTCAATCACTTTACTATTATACACTTAACTATCATCATTATTATTATTGAATGAGCTACATTGTAAAAATGGTGTACCAGGTTTTTATCTGGCACAGATGTTAGAGGATGGTCAGCCAAGACTGTAAGTGTATTTTCATTAAATATGATGTCGTTGGGTTTTACGGATGTGCTGTGAGGCAGGCAGAGGGTTCAGGTTCACGCTCCTCTGTGGTTTTATGTCTGCTGTTTTTGTTCGCTAAAGAGAGAGAGTGAGAAAAAAAGAAAAGTTTTCTGAATGAATCTTTCCATGTTAAAGATGCTACTGTAAATAGATTGTGAATATGAATGATCATTTTCAAGATAATATACACGAATGTTTTGCTTTTCAGGCATGTGTGAGTAAATGAGAGAGTGAGTGAGTGCGGAGGGAAGTTGATTGTATTCTCTATGGAATGTTTAATGTAAAAAAAAAAAAGAAAAAAGAAAAGAAAAAAAAAAAAGCTTTCCCTTTACTCCCCACTGCAGTTTGCTTTTCTACTGTCCAGCACTGTGTGACTGCCACCTGCAGAGCTGCGCAGCACAGTCTAATGCCATCAGTGTTCCACCGCCACTTCAGTGTCACTCCAACTGAAAGTGAAAGCATCGTTTACTGAACTCAGGCTTACGTTTTTGCCATTCTAAAGGAAGAAATCCAAAGCTGTGACCGACTCAGAAACACACTGTTGTGGGCGCTGAGGCGACGACGGGCTGCTCTCGTCCGCTCATTACCCCGTGAGCTCACACTCCTCTCTGAAACTTTTTTTTTTTTTTTCTTTTTTTTAAAGAAGGCGCTGCTGAAGTGCATCGTCACAAAAGATGAAAACACAAGCATGTCGAAAAAAGTGCTTCAAGAGTTCAACTTCACCATGAGTGTTTGCATAATCTTATATGCCCTTGTATGATGTTAGTATCTCTGTATTATGTAAAGACAAACACAGGTCGAGATGCCTGAGTCCACGAAAAGCTGAGATCACTCAGTGCAGATGAGTGTCAGTTCTACGAACAGTTTTCAGAGGCAGAAAGAATCTCATTGATACAAACCGGCAAATATTTACCACAAGATACTGTGTTCCAATGAAAACTGCTGCAACGTGAATAATGTGAAAACAATTTATTGATTGGTATTTCAAGGCTTTGTTGTACCAAAGAGCACAAATTGTGAGAAAACGAAGTGATTTATATGTGTTTGAGCTGATGTTTTGTCACAGTTGTGTAGGAGTTATCTTCAGTAATGACTCCGGTTCCTACAGCAAAATAGCCTAATAGCTAAGCACTGCTTCTAGGGCCTTCATAAACATGGCAAAAAATCTAATCAAAAATACAGATATTTTTTCATGTTTTTCATGCATTTATGACCTTTAAAGTCAGTATGTTAGCTTAGCTCGTGAGCTATAGCCTAGCTAGGCTAACTGAAATCGCTTTGAGACTAAATATAATCTAAATTAATTTCTCTCAATTATTTTTATCAAGGGATCCAAAGTGATTATCAATGTGTGTACAACAGAATGTGTAGCATTAGCAGCACGTTAGCAGCGGCTCTTTAAGTGTCCACACAGGAGGCGTTCAGGCGCAGGATTGAGGTGTAGGTCACCTGTGTTTTGGGAGCACTCAGGAAAATGGATTTGGGCAGTAAAAACCTGCTTTGGGTCACGTTTACAGATGAATCGTGTGAGTAAAACGCGAGGCCGTTATGTGGCCTGTCTAGACAGCTGGATTGTGGCTGAAATGTTTGTAGACACACAAAGTTCAGCCCTGTTGCCAACTCTTCTTCCAAGGAAGTAAAGTATAATTGGCTGTGTATTTATCAGAGGATCCTTTTTTTTTTAACATTGAATGATTGGAATTGTGCTTTGACAACACATTGAAAATGTCGAGCCAATAAACACATGGTCCATCATCATCAGACTTCTTTGAACTAGACGGACGCAAGTGTCTCTTATGAAGCTTTAGGAGTCATAATATCAGCATTTTCTT